TACTAACTGTGGTTGACGATAGTAACTGTAGTGGAATTAATGTTGGACTGTCCTTTGACGTTTCGACCGTAACACTGATACTGACCAGTGTCATCTTCTGTCACCGATGTTATGAAGAGTTGGGATGTGTGCTTGCTAGGGGGGGGGGGTAAATCAAGATTGGAGTTTCTATCTTTCAATCAGTCAGCTAATCAATCAATCAATTGATCGATCGATCGATCGATTAATCAATTAATCAAAAGATTAGTTAGTCACAGAATTGTCAGTCGGTTGATTGGTCAGTCATTCAATCATTTAGTTTTCATTTACTTAGCTGAACCATCAAGCAATTAGCAACCAACCAGCCAACCAACCAATTAACCAACCAAAAAAACCAGCCAATCAACCAACAAACGAGCTAACTAACTTTTTCTTAGTAATGGAAATGTTTTCAGTCGGGCCTAGAACCATCCCGTTTCGAATCCAGACTATTTCCGGGGCGGGAAAACCCTCAACCCTGCAAGAAAGATTCAGGGATTTCCCTAATTTCAAGTTTAGTGATTGGGGCCATAACCTTTTTAATACGGGTTTTTTGCCTGTTGGAAGAAAAAAAAATTTTTTAATCTTGAAAAATGTTTTGTAAAAAAAATTGAAAGATAAAAATTCATGGAGAAAAATTAAAAAAATGAGAATATTTATATCTGATATAGTTATCAAATATTTAGAAATAGTTATAAAAGTAATAAAAGTAGTAGTGTTTGTAGTAGCAGCAGCAGTAGTAGCAGCAGCTGTAGTAGCAGCAGCTGTAGTAGCAGCAGCAATAGCAGCTGCAGTAACCGAAACAGATACAGTAATAGTAAATTATATGAAAACAATTTGGCGACTATTATTATCATAATTATAATAATAATTACCAATAGTATCAATATCATTACAATACATACAAAAATAAATGAACATAGATCAAACAGAAAAAAACATAGAAATGAAAATAAACCAGAAACAAATGAACCAGAAAAAAAAACAAAAATACTGATTTGGGTTTGGAAAGTTAAAACTTAAGATGAGGCAAGCATTAAAGTGTTATTATGTCTGCCGATATCGCTTTCAGATTACGACGAGCAAGAGAGAGAGAGAAGGAGAGAAAGAGAGGAAGACGAAGCGAGAGAGGGGGGGAATAGAAGGAGTGTACGTTAGAAATAATGAATGAGAAAAGATTAAGAGAGAGTGAGCTAAATGAAAGGGAGAAACTAGTGGTAGAAAAAATAAAAAAAAAGAAATAAGGAAAGAAAGAATAAATGTGTTTGTCTGTCTGATGGTTTATGTGTGTGTGCGTGTGTGCGTGTGTGTGTGTGTGTGTATGTGTGTGTAAGCGTCTGCATATCGTGTAAATTTTCACGCGACTTAAGTGTTAAGAAAAGGGAAAAAACAGAAAAAAAACAACGAGGCAATAAACAACTTTGAAGAAGAGGGATGGCGAAGCTTATGGTACCAACATACTCTCTCTCTCTCTCTCTATTTCTCTTTTACTATGTCTCTTTTTTTCTTTTTTCTTTCTCCCCTTTCACTCTTTCACTCTTTACTTCTTTGCTCGTCTGTCTATTTGCGTCGAAAAAAATAGAAAATTGAAATCACTTCTTGAATCGTAAATTTTTTCTCAAGCACATGCAAGAGATTAAAAAAAAACCAAAATAAAATGAAGAGAGAGAGAGAGAAAGAATAAAGAAAAAGATAGAAAAAAAGAGAGAGGAAGAGAGAGAGAGAGAGAGAGAGAGAGAAAGAAGAATAAATGATAGCAGCATAGTAAAAAAATTGTAAAAAAAAAGGATGATGATGAGAAGGCTGTGGAAAATATAAACAAAATGATGCACGCAACATCTAGGAAGGAAGGAAGAATGGATGGATGGATGGATGGATGGATGGATGGATGAATAAATGAATGAATGAATGAATGAATGAATATGCACATAGATGGATGGAGGGATGAAGTGTGGAGTGGTGTGGATATAGAGAAGAAATGAACAACTGTCTCTTTCCGTTCAAAATTTAACCTTTTTGCATTAAGTTGCGAAATGTTAAGAAAAATCTTTTTTCTGTATTATTTTTTCAAATTTTCGTTGTTTTTTTTTTTTATTTAGCCCGAGGTATATTTTGTTTTTTTGCCAATAGGTTGTGTAATGTTGTCTAGTTCAATGTTTTGTCTCCGCTCCACTACGTTCACCATCCGAGAAAATTAATTTATGTGAGTCAGTAAGTAATGTTCTTTTGCTGCTGCTACTACAACTACTACTAGTACTTCTACTACTGCTGCTGCTACTACTACAATTGCTGCTACTACTGCTACTACTACTATTGCTGCTACAACTACTATTACTACTACTATTGTTCTTGGGGGGTACGGGGGCTTTCTATGGAGGGAGGTAACGCAAAAAAAATATTACGGAGATGCCTTGGCTATTGAGAAAAATGACCGGCTTTTTGTTTCTTTAACTACTACTTTTTTTGTAATTCATAAATTTTTCTAATTGTGTTTCTTATAGTGCAATACTTTGCCTATGCACATGCTGTTACTTAGCTTTTGTCTAATATAATGCATTTAATTTTCGTCTAAACTTATTTTTTTCATATTTTTATTTATAATTTTCGTTGTAGCATAATTTTTTTCATATTTTTATTCATAATTTTCGTTGTAGCATAATTTTTTTTGATATTTTTATTCATAATTTTCGTTGCAGCATAATTTTTTTCACATTTTTATTCATAATTTTCGGCAAATGTATTCTCAATTCTCTCCAAAACATCATCATACTGCTATCATCTTGGAAAAATGAAAGATGTATAATATGGGTGTTGTGTTCTCGTTGAACTTGCTAGCAAAAACAAACGGTTTCATGTACGCACACACACACACACACAAAAACACACACATACAAACACACACACACAAACACACACAAACACAAACAAACAAACACACACAAACAAACACACAGACAGACATATTGACAAACACATCAATAATATTAATACAGTTCTAGATGCGCGAATGTAATTTGATATGAATACATGTATTATAAAGTATTATATGTATTATTACAAATAAACTGTGTGTGTGTTTGTGTGTGTGTTTGTGTGTGTTTGTGTGTGTGTGTTTGTGTGTGTGTTTATCTATTTAGTAATATTTTACAACTAGAAATGACTTTTTAATTTGCCAATAATTGTGGTTTCGGCGGTTTACTATTGTACCAATGACTGCTGTAATAACTATCACAGTTAATTTTACTACTACCAACACTACTTCGGCCGCTGCTGTGGCTACTGCTGCTACTACTGCTGCTATTACTACAACTACTACTACAACTATTATTCTACAACTACTACAACTACTTTTACTACTACTTTTACTACTACTACTACTACTACTACTACTACTACTACTACTACTACTACTACTACTACTACTACTACTCTACAACATATACTATTACTACTACTACTACTACTACTATTACAACATCTACTACTACTACCACTACTACTACTACTACTACTACTACTACTACTATTACTACTACTACTACTACTACTACTACTACTACTACTACTACTCTACAACAACAACAACAACAACAACTACTACTACTACTACTACTACTACTACATTATTACTACAATTGTGGTGATGACCGTACGGCAATGAAAATTTATAGCATGATAAGTTTGGGACAGCTGGTCTGTTGGACTGGACACAGATAGTTTCTCTGATGCTTGTTAGTACTTATGTTCTTCAGCTGTTAGTACTTTCGTTCTTGTGTTGTACTACCTATTAGTACTGTAGTACTTTTAACTGCTAGTGCCAATGCATTGTTAGTATGTAACTGAGGTAAGGTTTCTCTATTAGAAATTTTTATTACATCTCTAATATTAATTTGTTACTAGAAACATAGATTTTATCTCTCTCTCTCTTTCTCTTTCTTTCTTTTCTCTCTCTCTCTCTCTCTCTCTCTCTCTCTCTCTCTCTCTCTCTCTCTCTGTATATATAGATGTGTGTGTGTGTGTGTGTGTGTGTGTGCGTGCGTGCATGCGTGTGTAAAACTACCGAATGTTTATTTGTTTTTTCGAACTTTATTAGGCTATTTGAGTACGTTTAAACTTACATTTTCAGATAAGTTTTATCTTTTTTTGAAAAAAATCGGTGAGCCGGTATATTCAGTATTCGGTATGTATTGTTAGTATTCGTGTGAATATCGAGTCGCATAATTTTGTCGAAGTCGGTCAATTTAACGATTATACTATTATATGTAGTGTGAAATAGCTTATAGCCTGTGTGTGTGTGTGTGTGTGTGTGTTGGTATGTGTTTGTATGTTTGTGTTTGTGTGCGTGTGCGTAATAATTTTATTAAGAATTATTATTGTTGTTGTCAGTGTAGTTGTTGACGATGTGAACAAATTTAATCAGCAGAGATTTTACAACAAACTTTTTAAATGTTGAATTTAAAAATATGATTGAAGAGTTGATCTGGCGTAAAGTACGAACGTGTGAACTGTAATGACAAATATCTTGGAGGACTTTTAGTTGTGCTTATCAACTGACAAATTGGATGAATGACGAATTAAAATATGAATGGATGGACGTCGTTTTGACGTGTGCGTAAATGAGAAGTGA